ACACCAAACCAAATGAGAGATTCATGTCTCCATGAGAGCTGTGAGTGAAACAGCTGGGCCTCGGCTTCCACAGCTCAGCCGCTTCAGACTGAACGTGTTTTCAACTGCAGTGAAACCATTTCCACCAACACAGCTACCACAGTGTCCTCTAAATAAAAAAACAGCTGTGTCCCAGTGTTTGATACAGGTAAAACAAACTCTTCAGGTAAATCTGAATAATATAAAAACAGTAAGTAAGTAGACAGCCCTGAGGGGAGGAGCGCTGGGTTTGTTTACCTCGTGTTCCCTTAGGACAAGGTCTCTCCACCAACATGCCCCGCTGGGTCTGAGGCCACATGATGTCTCTCCTCTCTGCTGCTTCACAGTAACGCTCAGGTAAAGGGAAGGACTCCAGAGGTGGAGGGGAAGTGGTGTGTGGGGTCAGGGGAGGCGCTCCAGGAGCTCCCCTGCTGCCCTCTCTGAGCCCTGTTGTGGCAGTGGTGTTGGCCACGCCCCGGTGCGCTGTGGTTGTTGTGGTGGTGGTGCTGGTGGTTCTCTGAGACTGAGGGGACGAGGTGACTTCTGACAGTGGGGGGGCTGTGAACACAGAGAGTCATTACATAAACATGATGAAGTGGAGGAGATACAAAGTGGAGTTTTTTGTTTTTTTTTCTCCTGGTATGAACATATAAAGTGGGCTCATTAGTGCAGGCCCTCAGGACACAGCACGTTGTTCACATCAAGTGTTTTGCTAAAGAAACATTGGCAGGGTTTTCACACCCCGACCTTCTGCAGTTGCCCTTATGTACCACAGCATTTTAATGATGCGTCCAGTGAATACATGTTCATGGATCTTATGGTGTGAACTTCAGTGACGTGAGCAACAAGTTTGTCTTTACATCCTCTGTCTGCTGTTAACAAGACAACAAATTACAGCAACATTTGTCCTATTTGGATCCAGTCATTCTTTCCGGGGAGATTTTGTCTTTTTCACGGCCGACTGAACTTCAGTGGAGCAACACAGAGCCTGAACGTACAGAAACAGTGGCTGAACTCTGACTAGAACAGGAGAAACTCATGCAATACCCTGGGCGAAAAAAAAAAAAGAAGAAGAAGAAGAAATGTTCTAGTCCCGAAAATGGTGCAGGCTCTTCTTCCATTTTACATGATACAGCAGACAGAAACACCGCTGTTACCCATCACCTGAGTCAGGAGAGGAGAAGTTTTCACACACAGAATGTTGACGGATGAAAACTACTTAATGCAACGCGTCCAAGAACAGGAACCCCGCACATCCAGGAATAAAAGGCAGCGCTATATCTGTCAAAGGAGCTCTGATTGGAATGCAGCGTGCACGCTGGATCTAATCACATTTGACTGCTTTGATTTCCTCCATTAGGCTGCTTGTAGAGCATGCAGGAGTGTGGAGAGCTGCCGTTACACTTCCCAGATGAGCACCTTCACTCTCGTGCAGGCACCGATGAAGGCAGATCCGGCTGGCTGGCTTCACCTTAGCCTCCACCCTCTCCCCCAACCCCCCACTTCCTTCTGCATCCTTTCACTCAACAGTGAAAATCACAGCTTCTTGGCCTGTCACTGCAGCCTCGATCAACCCTGTGCTTAGTGTCCTTTCAGAAATGTCTTTTATTCACACTGACCCTGTTTTGTCTCGATTCCCTGGTAAAAGCTGACAAACGTAAAAGGAAAAAAAAAAAAGTTGATAAAACTACAGAAATGTCTCAGTATAAATGTTGACAAACTGTCTGAAAACACACAGTACGATCATTCGCTCCTCTTTAAAACACGGCTCAGGTTTACACTGGAAGACGTCCAGAAGGTCCATAAGTATCTGTGGGGCCGTCGTAGGTTTCTCATTTCCAAACTATGAAAGATGATAACAATAAGATACAGGTCTCTGTGGGGGGGGGGGGGGGGGGTGTTTTGATTCCATATAAAAGGAAATGAAAATGAATCATGCTACGGCAGCTCCAGTCAAGATAAAGGACCTGCAACTAGGACCGATAAATCAGAGCGACATCTGCTGTGATCACAGCACATTCCTTCAGCATGTCAACTAACAACTGTGTCTTGTCTACACTCCTCGCTCAAGAGGCCCACGTGTCGTGACTCGCAGCGATGTTGAGTTCCATGCTCTAGTTACAGCGACTACAAGAATAAATCCTTTGAAGATCAATATCTGTAAGAAAAACGGAGGTGAATTAACGGCGTTAATAAAGAGGTCCAACTACAGGGCCGGCTCCTCCTCCTCCTCCACCTCCTCTTCCTCCTCCTGCTGCTCTATCCTTTAGGATATCCTAAGGACAGGAGAAATATGGCTTTGGCTTTGGTGAAGGGACGTGAGGCAGATTTGCTGACACGTCTGCTCTGAGAAGACGGGGAGAAAAAGCTGCAGTCGCTCACATTTGTGTACCGTCACAGACAGCGGTGGATTTCAAAGCTTCATTAACTGAAGAAATATAATGAAAAAGCACATTTGCAGTAGAGCCACAATAATCCTGCGGGGAGGGTTTGATTTCATGACCATAATGCATACTAATCCGCTTTTACTGTGTGAAAAATAAGAGAGGCTAATGTGAACGGAGGATATACTTCCCTCAGAGATTCGTGCATAAACAACGCGGCCTCTCTGACCACTGCTGTGTTCTGTGTGTGTGTGTATAGATGCACGTCAGCCCATAATCCTAGCAGCAACACCATAATCTCATTATCCTCTGTGTTATAGCTGGGTTTAATTTCTTTAATGGACGGAGACATTAACCCACAGGTATTTAATGGACACAATTATTTAAATGATTATCTCCATGAATACGTTTGGGTAGTGATGCTGCAGGAGTCTCCAGAACTTTCTGTGATGCATCAAACTGACTAAATATTCTCACTAACAAATGCAGGAACCCCAAGTCTGACACCATCAAATGATGTCACGGAGCTCTGATTATGACAACGACGGCAAATCCCAGCGTTACGTTTTGCAGGAACAGCTCCTTGATTTGCTGTGTCTCAGTCAGTCACAGACCGTCAGTCACAGACCGTCAGTCACAGACCGTCAGTCACAGACCGTCAGTCACAGACCGTCATAAACGGCGCCGTGCTGCACCTGACCGTATCACGGTGACATAGTCATAAAAACAGTGGAGTCAAAGTTAGTCTTGGACGTGTTTGGATGATTCCAGGCCTACGCCGTGCTGCACCTGACCGTATCACGGTGCTTCAGTTATTGCCACACAGGTTAGAGGTGTGGGACTGATGACGAGTAATAAGTCACGGAGCCGGAGGTGCCGTGGGAGCACGTGCACATATGGCAGCGCTCACACACACACACACACACACACTCAGGACCAGTTCATCACGTCAGGTTGACAAATGTACGCTGACAGCACGCGTCTTTTATATTAGGCTTAATGACTTCACTTTTAGTCCGAGCGGCGCGGCTGTTCATCAGGATGATGTTTCCAACACATTATCAGGTGCTGCTCTTTCTGCCTGTGGGAAACCCACGTTGGCTTTGACTTCAGATCATTTTCCACATAACGTGTTTAATCTTTGCCAGATCTGACCTATCACTCCTCTATCTACGACTCATTAAATCTTTAACGCTAATCTGACACAATGCTTCTTGGGAGATTTGCTCTAATTCTCGTTTAGCATTGGGCAATTACTAAGTGCTAAGGTGAAGGAGCGTCTGTTCCTGAACCGACTTCACGGCGGTTCTCACCCTCTCATTATAAAAGGATGGCAAACACTGGAGGGTGGAGTGAACTTCATCTCCAGCTCCAGTTCTGTCTGGTCCAACCTGCCAGTCTTCTGAATATTCAGCACAGTCTACATGACAGTCTACATGACAGTCTACATGACAGTCTACATGAGTTGAGTGTTGGCGTTGGACGGTGAATCACGTCTTCTTACAGAAACAGAACTCACAGCGGTGACGGACGAGTGTGTTGGTTTAGAACACAGTCGTGATGCGCCTCCATATCTGGCAATAACAATATAACAATAATACACAAAGGAAATTGAATTACACGTCTTTCACTCTGGGCTGCGTTGGCTGCGGTGGATGGAAGGACCGGCGTGTGATTGGTTGTGTATTAACAGTAAATATGAAGAAAGCTGAGAGAAAAATACGTATAATTTCCCAGGAGTGGAGTCTTTGTGAATGTACCTGCCGTACAGGAGCGCGGTGCACGGAGCTGAGCCTGATAGCTGGATGATGTTATTTACTGCTGCAGCTAAGATTTGTTTTCAGTATATAAACACACACTGATTCACATGTGTGTGGCAGTTAGAGTGCTGTAGTGAACATGTGAGTGCTGACAGTTTTACACACACACACACACACACACGTATGTCTCGTAAGGACTTCATATAATCAGAATGTTACAAGTTTTCATGGGTTGTGACTTCATATAATCAGAATGTTACAAATGTTGAGCCAATCCTTAGTTTTAATCCTAACTCCAAATTAAATGTTAACCTCATTTGACCATCTTTATTTTTTAGTGGAGTCCAAACATAATGCTGCCTTTTAGTAAAGACAAGGTCCCCACAAGTGCAGCTATTCAACATCCACACACACACACACCATGACAGCAACAGTATAGAAACAGACCAATCAGCTGCCAGACAGCAGCCTCCTTGCCTTTCTCTCCGTACAGTACGTGCCTCAAATTTCAAGCATTAACTCTTAAGTGTGCCAGGCCGACTGATATGAAACGCTGCGCACGCAGGACGGTGTCTATTTCAGGGCTTTCATACACGCTTGCACACAGCCACACACACAGAGCAGCAGCTTTTTACACACATTAGCAGAGCCGTGTGACACAGACACTCATGCAAACCCTCACTGAACACAGATTAGAAAAATACTGACATGCATAGGCACAATAATCAGCCCTGGGTAAAAGAAATCTCCTTAAAGCCACGTGTGACAGAGCGATGGCGGCGGCGGCGGGGGCCACTGATAAGTCTGTTAACACGCTTGATTTCACAGAGGGTGTAATCAAACGAGGGAGTGTGGTTCCTCTGGGCGACCAGTCAAACACCTCGGTGTAAGATTCTGAATCCTAACCTCGGCTTTGCTGTTCCAACACGGTTCAACAACAGCGGGAGCAGACGTCGGAGGAGAAGTGGAAAGTATTATCTCTGAGGGTGTTTTTGGATGAAACTGGCAACAACCGGTCCTCACGTGGCTCCATGTTCAGCAGCAGAGGAGCGTCAGAGATCACGATCAGATTTCAGAGGAAACAGGTGACCCCCTGACCTCGTATGCTGAGCGCCGTCGTCGACACCAGACACCACAGTGGTGGGGTTTTTATCCCACGATGGAACATCAGAGACACTGTGAACAGGAGTATAAATCCCTGTCCTAGGATTTTCCTGCTTCCATTGACCCCCCCCCCGTTAAATCCCCCCCC